CCCCCCCCCAAGTTTCCTTCTTTTTATTTCAACTAAGTGAGTGATTCAGATGAAAGTACTGTTTTTAAATATTTAAGGTTTTTAAAACTCTGTATAAGAAAGCTACATATTTTAGGAAATTAGCTCATTTTTGGTGCTTGGGCTGCTAACTGAAAGGTTGGTGGTTTGAACCCACCAGCTGCTCTATGGGAGAAAGATGAGGCAGTATGCTTTTGTAAAGATTTATGCCCTTAGAAACCCCATGGGGCAGTTGTACTCTGTCACTATGACTTGGAATGGACTTGGTGGCATCAGGTTTGGTTTGGTTTTGGTGACATTTTGGAAATAATCTCCTGGCACCATCATGTTCATTTGGTAAGTTCTTGTCTGATTTAGAGAGTCGGCTCTTAGAATAGCTCCCTGGGTGGCGTATGTGGCTTGTGTTCAGCTGCTAACCAGAAGGTTGGCAGTTCAAGGCCGTGTGGTGGTGTGACACAAGGAAGGCCTGGTGATGTTCTTCCATAGATCACAGCTGTGGAAAACATTGTGGCGCGTGGTTCAATTCTGAAACACATGGTGTCGCCGTGACTCAGAACTGAGTTGGTGGCCACAGGTTTGGTTTTTTTGCTCTTCTCTTCGAACTGCTTTTCTCGATAATTCCACCAGGTTAGAGAAAACAACCCGGACACCAGGTTCCCCAGCAGAGCCATATTCTGCCTTCATCCCAAGCCAGTTGACAAAACCCAACAATTTTATTAATGACCTGAGTTTTATTTGAAATATGAGGGAAGAAGTCATAAATATCCAGTGCCCTGACGTTAGTCTCTGACTTACATCATGGCATGACACAAACTTCCTAGGACGTTGCACGCTACCAGTCCACAGCCTGCTTTCTCATATGGTAGTAAAGGAAGTGTGCTGTGGCCAAAGAGAACATGTTGTGTCTAGGGACATGAGGCTGACAGCAAACTTAAAACAGTAGACTATTGATCAGGTATTTCTTGCTGGGATGGGATTGAGAGGCTGCCTCCGGCTGCCAGACACCCAGGTTTCTTCCAGCTTTTGATTATGACTCAGGATTAGGGTAAACCCAAATACTGGTTGAAAATTGTCAAGAAAATCATCGATGCTGTCATAGACTAATTTTAAAGAGAGAGAAGCCCTAATTAACGAGGAAACTTCCAGAAGTTTGAAATCTTTCATGAAAGGAGAGAATTATGAAAGCATTTCTCATGCCCCCATTTTGATGATAACCTGGATAGAGACCATTCGTTTGGCCGGATTGTCTCAGACTGTTAGGGATTTGAACTAGGAAGGGCACAGAAGCTCTCATTTCCCAAGAAGATGAGTACTGAGGTCAAGTGGAAAGCAGCACTGGATTGCAGGTCTTGCTGGGTCACTCTAGATTTGTAGCATTGGCTGTGGATTCTGATATTGACTGACACCAACTTTCCTCAGGGGTAAAGTGGGCTCTCTAAGGGCAGTGGTGGTTCAGTGGTCGAGTTCTCACCTTCCACACGGGAGACACAGGTTCAGCTCTTGGCCAGGGCACCTCAGGTGCCTCCACCACCCGTCTGCCACTGGACACTTGCGTGTGGCTGTGATGCTCATCAGGTTTCAGTAGACCCTCCAGGCTGAGGCAGACTGAGAGGAAAGGCTGATTGCATTCTGAAAGTCAGCCAGGGAAGCCCTCACGATCATAAAGCTCTGATCCCATCGTGCACAGGGTCACCGTGAGCCGGGCAGCAGCTCACACTGCCACAGGGGGCTGTACAGAGACGCTGTTCCCCTGTCGTCCATTAAATGGTGCTTCTGGAAGGTGTGCAGTGAACCTGCGTGGCTGATGGCCGACAGGTAGAACCAGCACACTGAACGGAAGGTGGTCCCAACTCAGAGAGGCCAGCGTGACATTCCCTGAGGGACTGCTCCAGGACGGCCTTTATTTTCCGCCCAGCCTTTAATGTCTGTTTCATATGTTCTGTCAAACATTCATGAGCTGCAGCTGTATGGGATTAATACATGTGATTATATGTGAGTGAGTTTTGACCAGTTTTGGACTTACTGTTCCCTCCTTTTCTGCTTCAGAGTAACAGATATAAACCTGGGCAGGTTGGTGCGTGGGGATGCCCATGAATGTTTCGTTTCACCGGTTGCCAGAGCTTTAATCGAACTCCTTGAAAAATCAGGTATCCTGCGCCATCACAAATGCTGCTATTTTCTATTTATGGGTATTTACGTTGTTGTTTTTAAGGATTTGTTTCTGGACGTTTCTAAATGAAACATGGAGGTGCCATTCACCGTGGGCTTCCTTTTCTTTTCTCGTCTTTCTTGGGAGGGGATATGAAGGACTCATTGCAGATTTTTCTAGTAATGTTAGATTATATTTCAAAGAGGAATTGGTGAAGATGATGATTAACCTATTTCCAACAAATTCTCAATTTCTCTCACGAGACAGTAAAAATAACCACAAGGAAAAATGTTTATAGTTTCAGTTTCTCAAATCTGTCAATACACAGACCTAGGTAAGACTTACCTTTAAGACTGAAGTGAGGAAGCTGGGACAGTGAGTGTTCTGGTTCC